TGTTCAGTCAAAAGAGGTGGTTTGTGAAATAATCTTTGACAGAGCGTGGCGGAACTTATGGAAGTAAGCCCTACCTTTTACTAGTTAGGCTCAGGGCTACTAAATTTCCATATTAGGCTCTAACTGAAAACCACACAGATAAATATAACTAAGCATATTATTTATCTTAAAAAACCACTAGAAATACAGGAAGTTCTGACTTGTCAAGTAATGATTGCCAATTACATAGTGGTGGCTTTGGAAAACCAGCATGTCAGCCCACACATGATAAAAATCAAGGAAATAGCATCACAGAAATACATTTTATCTCAAAAAGTACAGTACTAGTTTTTCTTGAGTCTGATGTTTTGATGTTGATTTAGTTAATGGCATGAAAATTTATCAATAGGCTACAATGTTAAAACAAATTTGTGCTCAAAAGTAGGTTTCAGTATAAACTTCTGAAAGGACGTAACAGAAAAAATGTACTGTAGTGGCAGTAATATAGTGAAGATAAGTTATATAACGTAAGGTGAGACTTGGAATTGTTACTTATTAACTTATAAGGGGCCAAAAGAATTCAAAGTTTGGATGATGGACTCTTAGCCTGAGATACAACTGGCAGTGTAATCAAGGTAGAAAATGTCCCTAAGAAAGAAGTAAGCAAGAAAGGAAAGAAGAGAGGAAGGAAGGAGTGGGAGAAGGCAAGATTGATCTGGGGCCAGCTTCCTTTCTTGCATTTCGTAGATACCTAGTATTTCATAGATAAACGGGTGAATAAATGAATGGTGAATGCCTTCTCTATTAGAATTCTAGTGTCTGCAGCACTATTTACTACAGGGTTACTGAGAGATAAGTCCAATTCCAGTCTTAGTAGTCTGAAAAGTGAAAATAAACATCATACTTTGGTACTCTTGAAGTTTCAGGTCATACTTATAATCCGCAACCATCGGATCTGTTCTTGTGAATGGAATGTCTTCATAATGTGGAGCAGAAATGCTGGAGAAGTCAACAGTAGTGAAGGGCTTGATGTCAAAGGAATGGGAGTGGTCGTCCATTACGGAGAGATCCACGGAGCTGATCCCAAAGTTGGTGGGCCAGAATGGCATCTCTGTGTCAACCATGGTAATTTCTGAAAGGAAAAATAGACTAGCTGTGAAGTTAAGTCCCAGAGAACACAACAATCTCACAGAGTTTCAGAAAGAGAAATGAAAGAGTCTTTGGCAAAGTAATCTCATCTAGGTTCTCACAACAAGAGAAAAGAACATAACCACCTTCTTAGTGCTGTCCAGGCTGTTTTATGATAGAAAGGAAGTCACCCTTTACCCAGGTATCATAATAGAGAATCCTGAAACAGTGCAGACACATACAGTGTATCCATATAAACGCCTTGCCAACAGTCCTGCTCTCATTATCTTCTACAGAAGGTCATCAATTGAGTCTGTTAATGACTGCTGTTATTTAAAATTTTGTTCAGTTTTACTGAAGTATAATAGACAAAAATTTTTAAACTTAAGGTATACAGGCCAGGCACGGTGGCTCACATCTGTAATCCCAGCACTTTGGGAGGTCAAGGCAGGAGGATCACCTGAGGTCAGGAGTTCCAGACCAGCCTGGCCAACATGGCGAAACCTCATCTCTACTAAAAATACAAAAATTGGCCGGGTGTGGTAGCATGCCTGTAATCCCAGCTACTTGGGAGACTGAGACAGGAGAATCACTTGAACCTGGGAGGCAGAGGTGGCAGTGAGGCGAGATCACCCCACTGCACTCCAGCCTAGGAGACAGAGCAAGACTCCATCTCAAGAAAACCCCAAACCCAACCAAACCAAACCAAAACAAAAAACAAAAAACCACATACACACACAAAAACTTAAGGTATTCAATGTGATGTTTTAATACATGTATTTACTATGAAATGATTATCATACTCAAGATCACTTCACACAGTCACCTTTTTGAGTATGAATATGTACAGTGAGAACACTTAAGATCTACTGTCTTAGCAAATTTCAAATATACCATACAGCATCACCAACTACAGTCACCATGCTGAAGGTGACCTATACTTAGGTCTCCAGCACTTATCCTGCATAACTGAAACTCTGGCTGACATCTCCCCATTGCTCTCGCCCTCCAGCCCCTGGCAAACACCATTTTACTCTCTGCTTTCATGAGTTCGACTTTTTTAGATTCCACGTGTTAAGTGAGATCATGTGGTATTTGTCTTTCTGTGTCAAACACTACCCAGTTTAATTATCTTAGCATAATGTCCTCTAGGTTCATCTCTGTTGTTGCAAATGACAGGATTTCCTTCTTTTTTTAAGGTTGAATAATATTCTACTGTGTGTGTACATATATATCTTTATGTGTATATATGTATGTGTGTGTATATATATTATATATGCATATATATACTGTGTTTTCAAAAGTCCATTCATCCATTGACACTTAGGCTGATTTCATATCTTGGCTATTGCAAATAATGCTGCAGTGAACATGGGAGAGCAGACAGCTCTTCAACATCCTGATTCCATTTCACTTGGATATATACCCAGAAGTAGGATTGCTGGATCATATGCTAGTTCTATTTTTAATTTTTTGAGGCAGTCCATTCTGTTTTCCATAATGACTATACCAATTTATGTTCCTGCGAACAGTGTGCAAGGGTTCCCTCTTATCCACATCCTTGCCAACACTTCTTACCGTCTATGTTTTTGATAACAGCCATTCTAATGGGTGTGAGATGATATCTCACTGTTTTTGATTTGCATTTCCCTGATGATTAGTGATGGTGAGTACCTTTTCATATATCTGTTGGCCACTTGTATGTCTTCTTTCTAGAAATGGATATTCAGGTCCTTTATCATTTTTTTAACTGGGTTATTTGTTTTCTTGCTATTGAGTTTGTTGAGTTTCTTATATATTTTGGAATATTAACTCCATATCAGATGTACGATTTGCAATCCATAACTCCATATCAGATGTACAGATTTCCCTATTCTGTAGGCTGACTTTTCACTTTATTGATTATTTCCTTTGCTGTGAAGAAGTTTCTAGTTTGATGCAATCTATTAATGATTGTTTTTACAGTGTGCACAGGGTTCCAGGACAATTTTACTCTCTTGAAAGTAGAAGCCCCAAATATTTTTCTCTTTAGGATGAAATTTTTCCTATTCTACTTGTATTCATATGCTTTTGTGTAATAGAAAAGTTGGCAAATTAAATATAGGTAAATGAACAACTTCTTTACTTGCATCCTAAAATAATTTTGTTCTTAATACAAAAATAAAAAAATTTTAAGGGGAAAATTACTCAATTATTATTTCTGTACTATGAAATATTACTCAAATAATTATCTTTTCTGTGGATACACCTTTTCTTAAAGAGGAGAAAGTTTTCCCCACATTGAGAATAGAAAGGTTAGAGAGATTTGTGGAAACATTTGATCACACCTGGGAGTGTCAAAATCAGACTCTAGCCCAGCATGGATTTTAAACCACCCCCAAAACAAAAACAAAACAAAACAGAGACAGAAACAAGAAAACACATCAAAGACAAAGGAAAGGCCGGGCGTGGTGGCTCACGCTTGTAATCCCAGCACTTTGGGAGGCCGAGGTGGGTGGATCACGAGGTCAGGAGATCGACACCATGGTGAAACCCCGTCTCTACTAA